AGATGTCCCGATCCGATCACGTGATTTTCAAAAGATCGGAATCGGGAGAAAAAAAAATCGGTGATCGGGATTTTGTATTTTTTTTATTTTTTTAAATACTTTTTTTTAATTTTGTATTCAATGTTACAAAACAAAAATGCCCATGTTCAAGTCTTAAAGTCATCCTGAGGCCTTAGTTTTGGTTTCAAATTACACAACATCATGTATGTGTTGCTTCTTTGGGGCTTGTTTTCATAGACCTGGTTGCTTATTTCTCTCAAGTCTGGCAACAGAGTGGGCAGGGCGCAGTGTCTAATTGTAGCAGTAAGCTAACGAGTACCGAAAGCTTTATTTTGTTTTGATCCAATGCTGCACAACTGAACTGATCCAATGCTGCTGTGAAAGAAAGAAGCTATATCCAAGTTGGATAGAATATCCAATTTAAATAAAAAAATAACCTTAAGGGACAACTTGAATGCTTTTTTTCTTTTTTTTCTCTTAATGCATTGCATAAAGATCGGATCGGGAAAAATCGGTATCGGCAAATTGTCAAAATCAAATGATCGGAATCGGATCGGGAGCAAAAAAAGGTGATCGGGACATCCCTAATAATAACTTTAATTTATATAGTGCCTTTCATCAACCCAAGGTCGCTTAACAAAGAAACATATAAGGACAAAACATAAAACAGGGGGCAGAAATGGAAGTGTTACATTGCTAACTATCAACTTTGATCATAAAATAATTGTGAGAGGAAAATACAAAAGCTTTTGTTTGAGATTCTCTTTGATATCATGGTAAACTCAATATTGATAGATAGAGATATGAGAATTCAGAATACAGAACATACACACCAGTAAATCAACAAGGGGAACAAGATAGGCAAAATGTATTTAATGTGTACCGGTAAGTGACGAGAGGGTGCAGTGGTAGGAAGTGTGCAGGCCCAAAGTCCACATTGCAACCGCAGCTTGCTAGAGTGAGAAGCCCCCCGAGGCGAGCTAACATCAGGAGGGAGCCTCTCTTCAGAACACAGGCCAGGAAAAGACCGCCTGGTGACCAGCTCACACTGCCCACCCAGTAGGACCTGAACAAGATTAAGTACATTTTTGAATAAAATCACGCTATACATCAAAGATTTTCAGTAAAGTGATAATGACAGATGGCATTTAGGTAATGCAACACCCCTGGCATTCTTTATACAACTGTACAGACACACTGTCAACACTACTGTGAATATACTTTACAACATCAATCACTACCCATTTTTATTTAGGCACACTGTACCTTATGTATTTAGAAGGGATCTCCATTTTTTTGCTTCCACATCCTCCAAGGCTACTTGATATTGAGACAAAATTCTGTGTGTTCACAAAGAGGACCTGCGTGGCCTGCATTCAACAAGAGAATATATCAATCTTAATTCACATATCCTGGAACAAAACATATATATTACAAAATGTGTGGGAAAGAATAAGATAGACAGGTTACCTTAGGCTGTCTCTGATTCAGGACAATGGCTAACAGGCTGCCATCTGGGGAGAAGGCTGGCACCAACGCCCCTCTGGACTTCACTGGGTGGCAGGGAGGGGTGAGACGAGACATGGGGTATGTCTTGGTGGCCCACTTTATGCTGTATCCCACAGAACTACAAAAAGAAATGTGTGTTTTTAACCACTGTAATACCCAATGAGAGTCCTGTCTGCTACATAGACCTGTTTCACTCACCCTACTCTCAGGTTGGCCTCTTCCCACTGAATTTTCAGGCAGGTGAGGATTAGCTTCTTCCCAGATGTGAAAGCAAAAGCTGCTAAGCAGGCATCACCTATAACCTAAGATTGGAGATACAATTCATTGTTAGGCCTATAGAAAATCAAATGTTGTCATGACACAAAATATAATACTTTCATAAGACAGACCTCTGATTTGACGAAGATGGTGTGTACAGATGCTTCCTTGTCTTGTGAAGAAGGCAGAATGGAGTCTTCTAGGGGCTGTATATGTGCCCAGTGTCCCCTGACTGTGCCATCTCGTACTCCCGTCAAATCCCTGACATCCACACACTCCCACAGGAACACTTGCCCTGTTATGGATACCAGGAGCACACGCACCCCATCCCCTGAAACCCGGAGAGACAATCGTGTGGCATTGCCTGTGAAAAAATAAACACAAGGATCGAAGATTTACCATTTCATTTAAATGGAATCAGGATACTCAACGATCAGCCAAAGGTAAAAGACTAAACATAATCTTATTAACCCACATCAGTTGCATCCCTTCTTAAATTCAGGATTAAATGTGGAAGCAAGTGTAAAATTGTGCATCTCAGGTCAGTGCACCCTCCCACATCTTCCAAGTGAAGCGAAGTGAAGTATGTTATAGACTGACAGTATGGAGGATTTATATGTACATGTAAAAATAATGTACCATCCTACCTTGAACAGCAGTTATCATTTGAACTACTTCAGGGACTGCTGCAGCCGTCTTCAACAAGTCTTTATCCCTGTTCCACAGAAAAAGCTCTCCTGAGACCAAAAGTCCACAAAGCCACATACCTACAAACAAAAACAATAAGAGACTTGTCATTTATTTTCACAATGGATAGGTGACATGTATTTTGCCTTGAGTTTACACACTGTACTCACCACTGTGGGATGAAGCCATTGTCACCACACTGTTGAGTAAAGGATGGAGCTTAGGAGTCCTCTTCTTGGTGCGACCAGACACCATGTTGATCTCACTGATCCGCTTGTCATCCAACAGGAACACAGACTCCTTCTCCTGATGAGGGACATGACACGGGTTCATTTTCTCATTATGTTGATATTGAGTGACTCTGACTGAAATGCTTGACTGTCCTCACCTTCCCAAGCCAACAGAAGCGCGGCCATGGTTTCTTTCGTTTGATGCTGGATGACAAAACAACCTCCAACTTCAGCTCCATGTTTTAAAGACAGCATCAGGTATTACTCTTGATTGGTCCTCAGAAAGGGCTTGTTGTGCTTAAAGGATTCTCCTTTACAAGCAAGACAATATAAAGCTATTGGTTAGCTGACAAGCAACATTTGTATTTACTGCAATGTAATCATTCCAAATTAGCCACGTTTCTAGTAAGAAATGCCACTCCCAAATATACAATGTAACCGTTATACGTTTGCAGCAATGGGTGTCATGTACTGGCAATGGTTCAGTGTTTATAGCTAGTGTTATCCGATGTTTGAAGCAACAAAAACATCACCATGGTCAACCATACCGTTAACTAGCATTAGCCACCTAGCTAAATGTGTTTACTGCGCGGAGCATTGGTACCGATAAACATCCTTACCTGAGCACTTTAACTACATTTTCCATGATCAACTATTTTAATGGGCACAATATTGGGTTGCAAAATAACAATTAAACTATTTTATTACGTGTTATCCCGTAACTTATCATGAAATATTTCGAAACTCCCTCCGCTTCAATAGCCAGAATTATTTCCCATGATCCTCTTGGAGGAAGCTTCAACGCGTTGCCGTAGGAACGTGCCCTGTGTTAAACACTCACACAAGCAACGTTACCCTGCTTACAAATATGCGTTTTCATTTCATTTTGTGTCGACTTTTTTTAGTGTGGTTTATTCCGCATAATGATTTTTGTGTTCAATGCCAAATGTCATACTTTAAAAACACTCAATAACGACAAAAACACCTAGCAATGTCTACTGCCCATTCACAGATGCTTCAGAATTGCTGCACAAGCGTACATTTTCCAGCAGATGGCAATACTTCCACATGCATTACTGTAAGTATACCCAGCACAGTGTTTGAGTAGAAGCCAGTTCTGACTAGAGCAGAGATCAGTGTGGTAGATAAACGGTGGCATAAGTAGCTTTTTGTACTTCGCCTCTGTGCTATTGCAGATATCTCTCCACAAGGTCAATTTTCTCCAAGGAACATGCAGGCCTATTACTGAAACTATCCGAATGTTTGCGTGCACTAAGTGGTTCTCTTCACTATTAACATCCATTGGGCTCTGTGAACTCTCAAGCAATAAGCTCTCCTATTGGGCTTGTTACAGAGAGTTATTAGGTTTGCCCCCCGGCCTTGCTGGTATTTAATTACCCCTGCTCTCTCTGCTTTTCATCATGATGAAGATGACAGCAGCCATTGCGATTGGGTGAAGGAGGAGACTTCTCCAGACCTTAATTGGTTCATTTGCCTCTGCCTGCCAGGCGCAGATGGAGCTCTTTATTACTGTCACTGCCAGGTACATTCTGGTCTGATGAGAACCGTCTTAAGAGGCAGAGCTTGACAACATAAGGACATGATGACATTGCCAGAACAAATTGATAATCAGGATCAGAGTAATTCAAGAAGCAAACAGTTGAATCCCCTACAAACTGTGTGCATTCAGAATATCAACTTATTCATTCCTCTGTGACGAATATGTGTTGTTGTTCCAACAGAGCAAAACTGCCATGCTGTTATTGTCATGCTAATGAGCGTATTGTTCAATATTGCTGGTTCCAGTCTTTCAATTGTATACCTTGAACCAATCCTCAATAAGGCTTTAAGCTTCATGTTTATATTTATATGCTCACACATTTGTATGGTCACATTCCTCTTGTTAAGCCTATTGTTGAGATATTTAAGTCCCTATACATGTGTTTATTTATGAATATCTTAACTTTGGACGTCGTTCATAGTAAAACAGCTATATGGCTAAAGTCAGGAATGTCAGTCTGGATCACTTGGAATAAGAGTTGTTTTCTTAACAGAACACCAATGAGGAGAAAAATCATGTGTTATAAAATATCCATTACATACCTTAGCTAATGGCATTACTGTAAAAAGCATATCCACACAAATCAATTTGTATGACTGATCACAACCAACAAACAAGTGAAAACGTCTAGTCTGTAATGACTCTTTAATTACTATTTCATGTTGTCACTCTCAACAAGGCATACCAGCACATAAGGTGGTGTTGGGTTAGGATTTCTGGATGATGGTCTTGACATTTGTGTGTTTGACCTCGAAGGATCAGTAGGCTGCTTTTAATTGATATGACTGTATAGCCATTACAACAATATGTGATGAACTAGAGAAGCGTGATCCATCTACGTCTTCATTGTTCAATGTAGGAACATTAGTTGGCATGGTAACCCCATTTGCTATCTGCAGGCTTCATTCATACAGAGAAATGACATTCAGGAAGCTGTAAGGAAACAATTTAATATTATATCTCACAGCAACAGTGGGTCTGCTGCATATCTCTTGGTGTGCACTGCCTGATTTGATGGGTTGTTTTTTTAGTGACTGGTGGTTTATATCACGTTGTGAAGATTTATTGGTGTACAGAGCGTTGCTGATGCAGCATTGTGAGTTGAATATTGACGAATTGGTGTTCAAAGTCTAATTCAGCCTTTGAGGATGACATATGCAGATAATGATGTACTTATTTGCTTTCATGTTGAGAATTGAGCTTCTCATATAGTTTTTAACAAGAAACCAAATACGTATATTTTCTTATTTGTCTCACTATTCCTGCAGGAGTGAGTTAATCTATGATCAGAAATACATTAGGGTGGTCTTTTTAACAGCTGACATTTTGGGTTAAGATAGTCAATTTGTTTGTTTGTTTGTGAGGCCATAGTCCTGAAATAACTATTTGCTTTAAGGGTTTCCTAAGTTTTTAATATGAACAAGCTTCTGTAGAAAAAACAGTATCATCCATTATCTTTGTTAACTGTGGTAGAGTGAGATGCTGATTCATGCTTTAGTGATTTATGAGGCTGCAGTTTGTTGTGTCGCTCACTTGGATTGCATAATATTTTAAAGTGCGGCTTTGTGTCTGACATTCTGGGGTCAAAGTAAGTACACACTTGAAGTACAATTTTGTTCTACATTACACTTCTACTTTAAAACATTTCAAAAGGGAAGTATTGTACCTTTTCATTCACCCATGTACATTTATTACATTTAGTTTAGCGTGGAGAGTTACTGAACAGTAGGCCTGTATACACAAATTACACTGATCAACATTAAAATAAACATGTTTGTTTTTATGTATAGGCTACTTTTAATTGTATTTTGTTGATAACACTTTTTATTTTTGGATGGAGGATGTTTTGTTGTTACTTGGGGTATAAAAGCTCCTAAACCAGTTAAACTGTAACTATCCCTGTGATGCAGCTCTTTCCAGCACCTCTACTCCAGTCCTGCACACCTAAACCAATTGAGAGTGAATTAAGCACTCCTGATAAACTAAGCTGTAGAAACAATTACTGTACAAAGCAGGTGCATGGTTTTCTTAATCAATCAGACGTGCAGGACTCAAGTTACACCAAAAAAAACTTGCATTTGTTTTCTTACACAGGAGATGTTCTCCTTTAAATGATTCCACGAAACAGCAACGTGCTTACTTTGACGGCTCTGGCATCACGACAGCGGGCCGCCCCCTCTCTCACACGATTGGTCGAGCCGTGGGAATATTCAAATCCAGGCCTGATTGATTGGCCCAGAACCGGTTTACACAGTGCAGGGGACTCTTGTCCATTCCGACATCACTCTCTGTGGCACACACAGCTTGATCGCCTGGCGAGATGAGATACAGGCAGCTGCAAGGAAAACCCAATCGATGAAATTATCTTCTACAATACTGTTGAATATGTGGAGGAAGTACAATTAATGGAGCCAGCGTCCTCAATGGATATATCTCCGGAGGTTTCGCGAAATCAGTGGCGAGATATCTTTTCCAGAGGAAATACGCCTTCCGAGCAGGAGAACAACCAATCAGCCGTGGCAAACCAAAGATAAACAAGCCTTATGATAACACCAAACTCTGTAAGAAATTGATTATGTTTATTATGTTCATCCTTTATGTATAGAGGGACACTGTGTGGAGCTTATTGAAAATGTTTGTCAGTGCAGAAAATGTTTTGTTGTAGTAACCGAATTGGTATGTAATGATAGCTGTGTAACTAAATAATAACATACAAATGTTAATGGTTGATAAGAAATGTTTTAATGTATGATGTCAGGATTTGTCATGCATTGATTTGGAGTCGACAGCGCTAAAGTGGTGAAAGATGCCCAGTGCGCACTAATGGATAGGAGCGTCTCGCCCTCAATATCAGTCATGCTATTGGCTAATGTGTATTTATGTGGGCCGAGTCCAACTATGAGGTTTGTAATTTATATACACTGTATAGACTCATTTATCTAATGGAAGACTAAACCCTAAATCATATTTAACTGTTAAATGTAGGAAATAGCAGGCATATAGTGTTTATTATAACATCAGTTAAATATTTCCGTAACACAAATATGTAGTTTTCTAAATGTTTTCTTTGGAACTCTTCTGTTTTGAGGTAATTCTAAGTCTAGTCTAACCTTTTAATCCTCAAATGACATCTGTGTTGGGATGGTGGCTTTACGCGCAGTGAAAGGCGCTTTATATGTCAGCAGCATCTCATAGGATACGGGAAGGGAAGTACTTTGAAGTATATTATTGGTCATTCAGGGCTGCCTGTGAAGGTTTCCATTTCTATTGTCTAGAAGCCGGAGGTGGGATCATCACACCTCACTGCACCGGTGGCAGCCGAGGTTGAAGGTTAGCCGCAGCAGAGGGGCCTATAGATTATTGGCCAGGTGTGAAATTCTACCCCGCATGCTTGTACTGCTTGTGCCAGATCCTTTATTATCCAGAGAGATGGGGTGTCACAGCTTCCCACCAGAGGCAGGGAATTCAGGAAAGCCTGCAATTTGGTGTTTTATTGTCTCTTTCTTTTTTTGTCAGGTTTCTTCCATGACCAATTGATAAACTCCTCCGGGTTTATATGGAGATGTCTGATCAGGAATATGCTTATCTTTCTGTATTTTGCCTTTCCTATAAACCTAACCATTCTGGTGTTGTAGCTTTTGATTTACCACAGTGTCATATTAAAATTGTTAGTGCGTTATCCCCCTTGCATCATAAAGTATGGCTTTATTCTCTATAAGATTTACTCTTTGTCTACTTTTACTATACAAGTGAATGTTTATCGCTCGTGTCATTTAATCTAGACCAATATTTTATTCCAATATAGACTGATATAGGTAGCTAGTAAAAATCTGACATTCATAATTTGGTTGTTTGTGCTATGCCTGGGACTGGAGTTGTTAGGGAGGCTTGTAAATTGCGTGGTGTTATGAGCAGTCCATGTACAGGTATCCCATGGGGGTTTCCCTCTGATCTCGCATCACACCCCAGCAGTAATTCCAACTCTGTGAAGGGAAGGGATTTGTCATTTGGCTGCCTGCTTCCCTTTGCCTTCTCAGGAGCGAAGCTGAGCTCTGATTTATTGTGAAGTTTCCCCAGGCTCGCTCAATCTCCATGCCTACCGAATTACTGAATGGAGGAAACGGCTCACCACCAGAATGACCTTTTCTTGGATGACTATTACGCAGGCCAGTACAAGGACTGATTAAGGTCATGTCTTTTTCTGCCATGTCATCCATAGCTTTAGATTTAAGGCTGGTTAACTGGGTATATGCATAGACTGGATAATATGATACAGAATGACTAAATGTACATGCTCCGCACCCAACTTCCATAGATTTTATAGGAATGACGCCATGGCTTGGTCGTGTTGCAGTTTCGCCCGTTCACCTTTTGTAATCACCTTTTTATCTGCTAAGAGATGTCATGTGTAATTACAGGCAGCCTGCCATCTTTTGAAATCTGTCTAATTGGTCTTTTCTTTCTAATAGGATGAAGGGGGAGTGAGACGGGGGTTAGGGGTGGAAGGTTAAGGACTGGGCCTCCAGGGTCATCGGGGAGGGGGACATGACCGCAAAAGTTATTTGGAGCTCCAGTCATTTTTATTTTGTCTACACGGTGGTGCTCATGCAGTAATTACTTCAAATGAATGATTAAGACGGCCAAATTGCAATTGACGCATCATCATTTGCCCCAAATAGAAAGGCTTTGAAATCATGACATTTTTCGTTGGTCCAGAGATCAAAGACCCTTTTTCTTTTCCTCGAGCATTTTTGATGTTTCTGCGATACATGGGAGAGGGCTCATCATTAGGTTATCTCCCACATTAGAGCGGTACAGTTTCTAATGAGTTTCATGTTTGCTCGAACATTTTAATGACTTTAAGGAAGCACTGACCCTAAAGTAAAGTAAACAGCCAGAGGACAGGGCTTGGGGGAAAGGGGGTTGGGAGGAATTGAATGTTTCATAAAGTAATTGCTTCGTTCGTTATTGTGTTGTTATATGGTTTTAACAATAGTTGAGAATGGATGACTTATAAATTGTGTTATCCCTACCTGAGTTGACCGTCAGATGTCAACATAACATTTTAATCAGTTTGATTCTTTTGAAAAATAACTTATCTTTCCAAAAAAACATTCAGCCCACCCATTTACCATCTGTTATCTTTGAAGTCAAGGTTTTCTAAAGGCTGGACAGCATACCCATGGCTCTTTGACAGTGTGCCTCCGTGTGCATACGATAAGATAAGGCTCTGTTTACCCTCTAATGTTACCTTGGCATTGGCCAGACTTTACCCCATGCCGTGTGTTTCTTTTACCTTGGCGCTGTCTTCGGGCAAGGGCAGATTTGGGTCAGTCCAAAGCTTTCTACTCCCTACCCAGGCTGTACATCAAGATAAGACTAATTGTGCAACTTTAGATACATGGCTACATTAGTTGTCAGCATCTCTATACATGTAGTCAAGCTGAGGATTTTATGAGGCTTTTTTTTGTTGGTGCACATTTGTATGGCCCTATATTAACTCCAAAGTAAATGATTAATTGTTTTTCCAAACTAGAAACCTTAAATACTTCATGTTGTGGCGGCTGCTGCTGAAATTAATGATGCAAGCTCTGATGCCAGCAAGTTGGACCGTCTTTAGTTTTTTCAATCCATTTGTTGCTGGAGTGTTACTTGTAGGTTTACAAATAGTAAAAACAGTCTTATCTACTTTGCTCTTACACATTTAAACGTTTTGATAACATAGTATGTTTTTTGATTTTCAACTAATTCTAGCTAGATATCAAAATATAAGTTGTAATTAGTTGTACGTAAATGCTGTTTAGAATTCATAATCTGTTCAAAAATTCACCAGCAATTTCTGAGGACAAATTCAAACAGCTTGATAAATGACATGTTTTTGGAAAAGCCTCATAGGGAGGTGGTTGAACATAAAGGGGGTGAATGATATTTGAATACAGTAAAGTTTAATAACAATGTCATAGCCCAGTGAAGGACAACATTGGGTGTTGCATATATTAACACGTTTAATTTATATTAGCATTAGACTTTGGCCAAGTATGTGAGTGTTTTGCAGGA